TTTCAATATTTTATGTTATCATTTGACATTTTTAACTTATATGTAAATTCTGAATTCAAAAATTGAAAAAAAAAATGACATGTGTCAAAATGTGACGTGCATGACCTTTGTTCAATGTTTTATCACCAATAAACTACCTTAAAACGAGAAAGGACCTACTAAAACAAATGACAGGTTTTGATAGTTCTGTCATTTTTTTTTTCAATTTTTGAATTTAGAATTTACATATAAGTTAAAAATGTCAAATGACAACATAAAATATTGAAAACTGGAAAAGATGAGTGCTGCCGTTTGGCAGGGTTTTGACAGGTGTTAAAATGGTTGACATTTTTCGACTCAACTTGGTCGACTTAGTGGAAATAGATTTTTTGTTCATCAAAATCTGCCATAGTTACTCTGCTTTTGTATATAAGATTCCAATATTTGACAGCTAACCACGCCTCACCTGTCATATATACAGGGTTGTGCCCATGGTAAAAAATGTTGCTTACGACATCCTCAATAACATATTTAAATTTCATCCAAATATCACGGGTAACCAATTTCCATTTAAATATTGCGGGGTCCTTTGAAGTCGATTTGAGGATCAGCAGCAAAATTATGATCTTTTTCCCAACTTGATAGGTACCAAAAAATTCATTTTAAATCACCTTTGAAAAATCCTGAAAAATACTTTGGAGTATCAGATCGACTTGAAACTTTCAGGATATATTAACTAGGATATTTTCATCAAACAAGACAAATTTGAGGCTAGTTTGAGACTCAGAAACAAAATTATGATGTTTTTCCCAACTTGATAGCAAACAACTCATGTTAAATCATCTTTGAAAAATACTTTAAGTCCAAAACTCTTATGAAACTAATTTATGCAAATCTTGTGCTACAAAAGCTTAAAGTTAATAACCCCGTTTGGTTACAGACCAAAAGTTGCATGCAATATGTTTATTATTTTATTTAAACAGCACAAATGAATCAATCACTTATACCGGAAATAGACATTTACATGCAAACTTTGCTTAAAACGTTCAATGAAATAAAAGTTTATCTGATCGAAAACATCCAAAACAGCGATCTAGATTTGTGATTCATTTGAGAATTATGTCATTGGCCGGCCCAATTTAGATATGAGAAAGCACCTTTTATTAGATTTATCCAAAATCTTTCTTCCAAGAAAGTTATTTTTAAGCTCCTTCCGATCAAGGAAAAATAAACTGATGCAGTCTAAATACAACACATGTTTATTGTAAGACTAGAATAATATTTAACAAAATTAATAACAATTAAACAAGTCTGTTGCCTACACATATCCCAACAGTAAATTGATGAATCACATGTCAGTTTTTGAACCCACAGAATTTAGTTTGTTTAAAATTGTTCTCAAAACAAGATCAAGGATGAAAATTGGAAAACTAAACAAAATTGAAAATAATTAGAACAAATACAGTTGGGATTTGTGCCAAGAAAATACAATATTATTGGAGGCCGCATGAAAAATTGATTTTTCCTTGAAAGTTTCAAACACAAATGAATTTAATTTTGTTTTCCATCAGACAATCTTATTGACTTATTGATAAAAAGTAGGCATTTGTGAGTGATAAAAATACCACCAGACTACAAAAGATTCGCTTGTTAATTTATTGATGCAACAACAAAATGAATTTAGACAAATAATGGCAAACCCAAAAATGTTTATAAGTGCATATGTACTTCAAATCAGATGTTGAGTCATCAAGCACCAATATTGAAACTTTAGAATGAAGTAGAGGATTTAATTGGCCTAATTTCGTTAAAATCGGATTGAAATTAATAAAGTTGAAAGCAAAATGTGCATGGATGTATTTTCAAAAAAAAAACAAATTTTCAAAAATAACAATGATTTTTTGACTCGGAATCTTTGCAGCTAAGGAAATATTGAAGCCTTAGAATGCAAATTTGTAGAGGATTCAATTGGCTTCAATTTGGGCCTAATAATGTTAAAACAGGATGGTAAGATGCAAACTGCTCATAAACACCAAAATGGAAAGAAAAAGAAAGATGAAACAAACGACGGAGAGAGAAAGTAAAGAAAAGATAGCAGAAAGAAGGAAAACATACAAACAAAGGCTGAAAGAAAACTTTTCCAACAATCCAGGAAAAACAGAAGTCATTAGATGATAACAATAGGAGAATAACAACAATTATAACAGAAACAGCAGAACAGATAATAGGCCCCCTAGAGAAAACGCCAGACAAACTGTCGATAGAAACGAAACGGCTACTAGAGAAAAGGAGAAAACTGATAACCGAGGGTGAAAGAGACACTACTGAATACACAGAAACCAACAAAACAGCAAGAAAAATGGCGAAACAGGATATACTAAAACATCAAACGAAACAAGTGCAATCCCTATTAGAACAGAACAAAGGACTAAATATATTTAAAAGACATAACACACCTAAGAAAGAGATAACCAAAATAAAAGATGCGAAATACAACATAGTAGAAGACAGACAACAGATACTAAAAGTTGTGAAATCTTTCTATAGAGATCTGTACGAATCTAAAATAGCAAACACAAGGACAAGGGAAGACAAAATAGGAATAGTAAATGCAAACTCAGAAGAAATGCCCAACATAAATATGGAAGAACTGGAGAAAGGGTTATCCCAGATGAAAAATGGTAAAGCGGCAGGAGAAGACAACATTCTGCCTGAAATGCTCAAGGAAAGCGATACTAAGACGAGACAAGAACTAGTGAAACTATTCAATAAGTGCCTAACAGAAGAATATATACCCTAAGATTGGGAGAATGCTGTAGTTGTTCTGATCTACAAGAAAGGTGACCCGACTGATCTCTAAAACTACCGGCCGATAAGCTCACTATCATAAATATATAAATTATTCACCAGAATAATCACCAACAGATTAGAGCGAAAACTCGAAGTTTACCAACCAAAGGAACAGGCTGGATTCCGAAGCCATTATAGCACGACAGAACATCTACACACAGTAAGGCAGATGATCGAGAAAGCTACAGAATATAATATAAACCTATGGATGGCTTTTGTCGATTTCCGGAAAGCCTTGGACACAGTAGAAATCTGGGCAATAATTAAATCCTTGAGAAATGCCAGAGTGGATCAACGTTATATAAACCTCATTGAAAACATCTATAAGACTGTCGATAAGAGTTCATGAATCATCCGACAAAATAAACGCCAAAACAGGAGTTCAGCAAGGGGACGTAATATCTCCAAAACTATTCACTTTAGTGCTTGAAGATATTTTTAAAAAGCTACAATGGGAAAACAAAGGATTGAACATACATGGTGAACGCCTGCACAATCTAAGATTTGCCGACGATATTGTACTGTTCGCGAAAGACAAACAGGAATTGATAGATATGTTGGAAGAACTACAAGATAAGGCGGCAAAAGTAGGATTACACATGAACTACACAAAGACCCAGTTTATTACAAATACACCAGATGCAGACGAAACAATACATACCGATCCATGACAGCACAATAAAAAAGACAGAAACATATACATATACCTTGGCCAAGCTATAATACCGGGCAAACAAAATCAAGAAATGGCAATTGATAGGAGAATTAGACTGGGATGGGCGGCTTACGGCAAGTTGAAGTACATCTTCAGCATGAATATTCCAATGACTTTAAAATCAAAAGTCTATAACGAGTGTATACTGCCTGTTGTCACGTATGGCTGCGAGACCTGGGTGATAACCAGAAGAATTAAACACAAATTGAAAGTACATCAGAGAGTCATTGAAAGACGAATTTTAGGAATTTCCCTGAGAGACCACAAAACAAATACATGGATAAGGGAAAGAACCAAAGTCTCCGACATAATAAAAAGAATTGGTTCCCTGAAATGGCAATGGGTAGGACACGTGGCCAGACATGCAGAAAACTGGAGCGGGTATATTACTAGATGGAGACCTTGGGAAGAGAGGAGAAGTGTTGGAAGACCCCAACAAAGATGGGACGACGATATAAAGGGGGTTGCAGGCTTGAATTGGTACCGAGTTGCGCAAAACCGAAGACAATGGTCAAATTTGAAAGAGGCCTATATCCTAAGGATAGAGAACGGCTGAAAATGGAAATGAAAATGGAATGTTAAAATTGGATTGAAATTACCAAAGTTGTGGAGCAAAATTTGCATTGATGTATTTTTGGAAAAAAATCAAATTTTCAAAAATGACAGTAATTCTTTGACTTTGAATCTCTTGCTGCTGCGAATCTATTGAAACTTTCAAATGAGGAATTAATTGCCTTCAATTTGGGCCTAATTACGTTAAAATCAGATTGCAATTAACAAAGTTATGAGGCAAAATGGACGTTGATGTTATTATGGGAAAAATCAAAGTTCCAGAAAACGGCATAGAAGGACGTTTTATGCTTTTTTGAGGATAATGTTTGAGGGATTGGATTGAAATTTAGAAAAACAAATGCAAATGCTAATGCAAAACAAAAAAAACTCTTCTACAATTTGCTCCACCTTGATAAAAAATAACAGGCAAAAGACTTATTAAGCATTTTCAGCTGGAAAACTATTGAAACTACCAATTAAAGATTTTCAGAGGATTCAAATTATAATGTTTTGACTCTAGAATCTATCCTCATGACAGTAATATTTTAGCAAATTAACTGTTTGATAAAGAATTAAATTCTTCAAACTGCTCCAAATTGGTTTTGGCTCTTTTTATAATATAAGAAACACCCACTGTACATGTTTAATGCGTATTTGAATTTCAAACTTATTATTCAAATGCAAGGTCGAATTCATCAAACTTTTAAATCGAAAAAGCTCAACTTTGAATACACCTTGTATAGTTTCATAAACAATCCTTAAATATGTAATCACATTCAAGACAGGTATTAAACAAGTAAATAAATATCTCCTTATAAAGCAAAATCGGTCAGGTTGTGTTACACAACGTTGAAGGAAAACCACTTCATTTATATTAAAACGATTTCAAAATTTCGGTACTCACTGGCATTCGTTCATGATCTCCTCCTGACTCCTTACTTGTACCGGAGCCAATTTCTCCACGGACTCCTCGTAATTACCAAAACATTTGGTGATTTTGTCGTCGAAAGTGTTGACCAAATCTTCCAAAGACCCAGAAAAGGTTTCGGTGAAATTATCCTCTGGAGGGTTGTTGAGGTTTTCTGGGTTCGAATTGTTTTGAACGACATTTTGCTCATTTTTTAAAAGAAGAGTGGATTTTGGGGGGATGATTGTATCCAATGTATTGGAGTTGTTGGTGAGGTCTTCATTAAGTTCATTGAGAACCTACAAAGAATTTAGTATTTGAACAACAACCCAAAATTAATCGATCTTAAGGGTTGTAAACCATAGAATGAAATCGACCCTTAATTTCTTTTTACCTGATTCAAATCTTTCACTTTTTTATTACTATTAATATTATTAATCTCGTTTTCGTTTCCTTTGTAAGATTGAAATTCGGCGGAGCCCCACTCGTCCGATTCTTCAAATTGCGCTAAGGGTGCTTCAAACTTTAATTCGGCCATTTTTGCAGCCAAGTCCCGCATATTTGTTGTACGAAACGTCGCGACGGCACTGAACTGGTGGTGGTAAACTGAACGCGTAGAATCTCAGATAAATTTCGAGATTCGGCGCTCGAGGTTGAACTGTACTGTCGATGCGATGGGATTGTACAAAAACGCGTGCATAGAGAACGATTGAGATATTCTACAAAAAACTGTAGATAGAGCATAATCTGAGGATAGAGCCCATGGATATAGGGATAGAGGAATTTCTTATAAATTTCCCAGCAGAATAAAGTGAAATTGAAGTGGATTATGTCCAGAAATCTATCTCGGCAGCGATGACTGTAAGCCGGTGATAAATTCAAAATATCTGGAATAAAGAAATAATGCCCGATGAGTTGAATCATGTGCCAACATCCAAAATTCATGCAGAAACCACCTTCAAAAATGTGCATAAAGACTTATCCAAAACTTCCTGATCTGTGAAGCGATGACGATGTTTGAAAATTTACAGTCTTTGTTATTATCACTACCACTTGACAAAGTCTGTTTGCACTGCTGAGACTGGTCCTTATTAAAGAGTTATGAGCATCGTCAGTTTTAGAGAGATTCAAAGTAAAGTTCATAGTTGTCGGCATATTCAAATTTTTGTCACAGAAAACATGACGGATGCCATCAGCATGTACCAAACTCACTATTTCATTTTCGTTCATGACTAAATATGTTGCATAACTAAGAACCTTAACAATTTTTGCTTTTAGCCATATCTTTCTCTTTATATCTTTGACATAAACTTGATCACCAAAATGGTAAAACTTAGAGTATTTACTACGATCTAGAAGTGTCCCAATCTTTGAATTATAACTGGGTTTTAAAAGATCAAATCTGGTTCTGGGTCTAATCTTCAGTACCTACACATTCAGCCGGTGACAAGCCTGTGGCAGTGGATGGAGTATTACGGTAGGTTAATAGGAAATCAGCTAATAAATGAGAAAGTCTATAACTGCCTTTTCAGCCGACCTATTACTTTGAGGGTGCTTTCACAGGTTAATGCCATTAGATTGATAGAACATTATAAATTCTACAAAAACAGAAAATTTCAATTAAATTTTTGGAAGAAATCAATGTTTACTCGAAAGAAATTACTTGGTGCTGATGGCCATGAAATCAAAGAATTAGTGTTAGTCGAGGGGTGTTTCACTCATGCAGTAAGTGTGAAAATATCATACATTCATCATTCATGTATATGCAGTCCATACATTCTCATGCAGTCAATGGAATACATGGACTAATGCAGTCATAAAACAGTCGCATGCAGTCATAAATTCCGTGTACTTGCGAAAAATCGTAAGCAGTCGCTGCGAGTGGAGCCTGCAATCTTAGATAGTTAGATATTGCTCAAAAAACAATGCAGTCAAATACAGTAGGTGTACAAAATTTACTGGGTCAAACACCCCTCGGTGTTAGTGAAATTCTGAAGCAACCAGACTTCACAACAACATATATAAACTGCTCCACATCTTGGCTTAAACCTGGGCCACCAACGGCACCAACAATATGACCTAATTAACATTTTAGTTCTGACTATGTCCAAATGTTTATCATGAAAAAGCTTCAGAACCTTTTAACACGTAATTTCTCTGGAATAACTACCTTATTACCTAACAACAGACAATTTTGTTCCACTGAGAGCTCTTGTCAGTTTTTAAAATATGGTTTTAACTCGTCTTCAACAGAATTCGAAAAACCTGATTTTGTAAAATCTAAATATTTTCATTGAAATTGTATCTTCGCCTATCTCGAAAGCAATAATATCTCCTGAACTAGGGAACTGCAGATTTCAATTTCAGTTAGTTACAGAAAATTATATTAAAGATTGAATCCCTCACATAAAGAGTAAGGCATTCGGTTTGGACAATTTAAATGTAACAATAATACTTTTAGCTCTTCCTGTCATAATCAAGCCTATTTTTACACATTGTTTATCTTTGTATATATCGAAAATTCACATTTCCCAATACTCTGGAAAATAGCTAAAATTATTCCTCTTCCCAAAGGTTCAAAATGCCTCCTTCTAATTCGCAAATTCGATCTATATTGGTACTTCCAGTTTCTATGAAAAGTCCTTGAGAAGGTAATGGAAGACGGAGTTACATGGCTACCAATTCGGAGTTACATGGCTACCAATAAAACTGTTTCCACCAAACCAATCCGGATTTTGTAAAGGATATGACTGCTGCACAGCTCTTTCTAGGGTAACAGATGATATATTGGCCGCTCTTGAAAGTAATCGAGCATCAGTTCTTGTATTATTGGACTTTACTAAGGCATTTGATTTAATGAACCACGATTTACTTTTATCAATATTGGAATATATTGGTTTTGAATTTACTAGTTTTGGTTTAGTTTAATCATATTTATCAAATGGTCAACAGTATATGTTTTAGATTTCGGGGGAGTCGTTTCGGCTATAAGCCGCTCAGCACTGCTACCTTTGCAGATATTTTGTACTTCAACAGTATGTTACCCTTGATAATAAAATGTCGGATCCTTGTGAAGGTGGTCTCCGGAGTTCCTCAGGGAAGTATTTTATTTTGGGTCCTCTTTTGTTCACAATTTATACCTCACAATTCGACAAATACTTGAAATACTGCAGTAGTCATGCTTACGCAGACGACAAACAAATACTACTCTCATTTAGTCCCACTAGAGAGTCAGCAAGCATGTGCTTTTTTTAAAGAAGACCTTGGAACGTTGTCTCAGGTGGCAAAGGACCATCAATTACAAATTAATCCCTCTAAATCAGTTGCATTTCTTTTTTTGTAGCGAGGTGCATCGGGCTGGTATTGCTGGTAGCATGTCATTGAAGATTGATGGTACAAATCTGCCCTTCCAGAATTATTCTAAAAACCTAGGTCTGATAATGGATAATAAACTAAAATTTACCGAACATGTTACAAGCAAGATTAGTTTAGGGTGTTGCAACTTAAAATTACGTTATTCACATCGGAAATATTTACATCAAGATGCCAAAAAAATGCTGTGTGATGCGATGGTCTTATACCACCGTTAAATTTTTATGATGTTATATATGGCCCTTGCTTAACTATTCACAATTCTAAAATGCTCATTCATTAATTGCAAAATTGTTGTCTAAGGCTAATAATTTACGGAATACGCAGAAGAGAACGAATCACTTTATAGACTGCAGGATACAGGATGCAAATTGGCTAAATATGTATAGTCGAAGAGTGATGTATTCCGCAAATGAACAATACTGACAATACTGCGGCAATTTTTTTAAGTTGGAAGTGTAGGACTTTATATCTTCATTATAGGCTCCTGGTGTGCACCATAAAATTTGTAACTTTCTGCGAATGTTAAACTGTTCGGACTGAAGTGATTTATGAGGGCTGTTTTCAGTTGGTCTTACTACGTCTCACCACTAGGCAAAGATGGAGACAAAATATCGTTTAGTAGTGCCCCATAGCAAAGTTTACCCATAGGCCTCAGGACCTAATAATGTAAGAAACATGAAGTGTTTTTTTTCCTCTTTTTTTACATATCATTACATGTGAACAATTGATCCATACGTTCAATATACGAATTTATATCAGACTGACATGTAGAAACTGGACCAGATTCATGGCTGCATGGACTCAACATCCGACGTCGCCTATTAATGTAGTGTATTTTTAGTAAAGTATGCTAAAGACACACATTCTTACGAACAGAACACAACACAACATAAGCATATAGTCTGCGAATGTGTCGCAGAAACTACGATACCTGGTTTACAGGTTTCTGGGAGCTTATTAAATAAAGCATGTCCGACCTGAGAGGGTCTGCACCGCACTTCTCCTAAAAGTGGCGAGCTCCTAAGGTAAGACAGGGTTGCACCAAGAGGGGGATAGCACAATTCACATGCACGTCTACGAACTTGGCAAAGTAGTCAGTCTAGTGTTCTATTTTTCAACATTTTTCTCGAAAAAATTTTCTTGCATCGACTTAAAGAGTATCATCTTCATAATATAGCGATTTAGCTACTTGTCCATACTGATTGAAATGATGTCGATACAACTCTATACCTACTATCTGTCCAATCCCTATACATTTGACATCAGCATCAGCATCCTTTAGTCTGTTTCCATATTCCCAGTAGTATGCAATGGAAATACATTATTCCAATTTTCATTACATTTCAACTTGAAAATCCATTTTGCATCAGCAACCTCTGTGTTTGGACCAGGTTTGATTTTTTCTGAGTGAATCAACTTCCATCCATTTTTAGCTTCATCTCTTTCACTCATTCCAGAAGAATGATTTCCGTGCCATAAGGAACGATTTGCCCCCCCCCCCCCCCCCCGTGCAATGGCTTTACATGATCTTTCAAGATATTTTGGATGTTTTTTCTTCCCATTTGTTTCTCCTCATATTGGTTCTACTACCTCTGAACCAAAGTACATCTTCTATGTTGTCCTTTTCCTCAACGCTTAATTCAGCTCCAAATCATAAATGTCCTTGGATTTTTCATAATCTGTATCCATGTGTAACATTATTTTGTCTGACTGTTGAATTTTCCATTGCTCATCTCTCTCTTGGTAGATTAGAATATGACGCACAACCAAATAATTCTCAGTTTTTAAAGTTTTGATTGGACTTCTGATTACCAATAATAAATCGCAGTCATAGCTACTTCTCACTAAAAAATGTAATCCGTTGATGCATTTAATAGCAAACATCTTTTCAATAAATATACCTTCATCCTTTCCAGCAACACCATTAGATTCTGGTGTGTGGCAATACCATTAGTTCCTTTTTAATATAAATATCACTTTGTATCAATTCTATTTATTTACCTCTTTGTTTGTATATTTTCCAATAAACAAGTCATATTTGTTATAGGTTACCTGGGATACAGCCTACCAGAGGACTAAGTCAATCATAGAGTACGTAATTAAAAGATAGCACTCCCAACTCCCAGAATAAAAATAAATGGCGTAAGCGCGGAATACGGATCGGACCATTATAGGGTTACAGTACAAGCAATGATTAATTTCAGGAAAAACGGAAATCGAGTAAACAAGGTTAATACACA